CACATATATATATATATTTATTTTTTTTAGCAACTAATTTTACATAGCCCAGGGAATAACAGGCTGCAGGGACCGATCTAGCAGTTAGGCAGGATTGAGTGAATATATTTGTTTTATTTGAACCCCTTAGCCAAAATGAGCAGTTCACCTGTTCAGTGCATTCAGCGGCCAAATGATTAGGCGATGCGTTGGCTTACTAGTGAATAACCCTCAAAAAAATCACACTGGATTACTGCACAGATCTGGAAGAAATACACAAAGCACACTAACATGATTATTCAGAAAAGAGTGAAGAGTTTGGAGAAGACAGAAGAAGTGAACAATTTAGGACAACATAGCTGAACTGGAAAGTGAGCTGAATTGGAGAATGTTTCCAAATCCAGCTATACAGTAATACCTTGGTTTACAAGTAACTTGGTTTGAGAGTGTTTTGCAAGACAAGCAAACATTTCTGAAAAATGTTGCCTTGATATACAAGCAAATGTCTTGCAATAAGAGCAACATTTTGTAGAAAAGCACCACCCGAATAAGGCTGTAGCAGTGCGAGCGATGAGTCTGTTTAAGGACAATGCATAGTCACATTGGATAGATTCCTTGTTAAGGTTTCACGAAATGAAAAAGATTCCATTGAGTCAAGAGATAGCAGTGATTCCGTTAGTGATAGTGAAAGTCGTCCTACACAATAATTCTCCTCTCTCTCGTCCCCCTCACACCGGCCACGAAGGTACCGGTAATTGGTTTATTTTTCTTTATATTCTGTACAGTATTATATTACAGTACTGTAATGTAATCATTGTATATGAATATTTTTGGGTTGTGGAACGAATCATCTGAATTTCCATTATTTCCTATGGGGAAATTCGCTTTGCTATACAAGCGCTTTGGATTACAAGCATGCTGCCGGAACGAATTATGCTCGTAAACCAAGGTATTACTGTATTGTCCTAGATTGTTCACTTCTCCTGCCTTCTGCAACTCTTCATCCTTTGTGAATAATCCTGCAAGATTCTAGTAAGAGTACGCCTTCCTCTCCTATTTAGACAATATTTGCTTATCCCAGGGCTCAGCTTGGATTTATCAAAACGGGAGCAAACAGAATCTGGAGCAGCTGCCCATTGCAACCAATTAGCATCTCTCTATAGTTTGCTCAGGTAAGATTTGAAAATGAGATATGCTGATTAGCTGCGGTGCAAATCTGCGCCAGTTTTTATAAATCCCCCGTCCTCTGTGTGAGTCCTATATAGACAGCACAGCGAAGGGAGGTCCTTTATGTGATCCCTATAAAGACAGAACACCTCTTGGTGGTGTCTATAGACAGTAGATTGCCTCTGCAGCCCTCGTACACAGTGAGCCCACGTGACTTCTGGCCCCTCCCGGTCCCTTCCGATCTCACTGTTACTACTTCCTGGGTCGCCTCCACTGACCCAGCATGTCTTCCCTGCCAGTTGGGGAAGCGGTGAGTCAGGTGGTATTACCCGGAGATGTGCTCGTTCTGCCGGCACAGACAGGGGACGGCTCGCTCTCCTTGTCATCTTCGTCCTCCTCCGGCCGGCTGAGGGTGGTGTGCGGTCCGGGGCTCACTCGGCACGGAGACGATCTGCAGGTGACGAAGTGCGGAGTGCTGCGGCTGCGGGATCCGTCTGTGTACTGGGTGGACTCCCAGCAGAGGAGGGTAAGGGCTGCCCTGCATGCTTAGCGGTGCTATGATCACGTGTAGTAGAGATATAGAGCAATGTGTTACCTGGCAACCAATCATCATTTCCAATGTGTATGAATTAAATAATAAAAGAAGGATTTGGATTGGATGTTATGGAGAAAGATGCTCCGGACTCCTTAGTTCTCTTTCCATATATCTCCCTGTAACACGTGTGGGTTCAATAAAAATGACATGCTGAAAAAAAAAACACGTGTGGGATGCATGCTCTCTGTACAATGTTCTCTCTCTGCTATGCATTCTCATGCTGGACACTTCTGTGAAAGCTACTGTCTATGAGCGCAATGACTGTTGGGTTCACTGGATGAGAAGTGCAAAGCTCATCTGGCCCTGTGTTCTATCAAAGATTGTGACTGGGTTGGAATGTGTAATCGGTCACATGGTCACACATTTTAATGTAATCACGCCCATTTTTTTCCGGAGGTAAACTATGTGACTGGCAAAGGTGTAGAATTCCAAAATTTTTCAGCTGTTCAAGGGCAGATCGGCAACGCAGATGGTATGTGCGGGAGAACCGATCTGCCCAGGAACAGCTGGTCGGTCCTGAAACGTCATTACTATCCGACACTTCTGTTCTCCTGCACATACATCTGCGATGCCGATCTGCCCTGGAACAGCTGAGAAAGCGTTTGAATTCTACACCTTTTGCCGGTCACATATTTTAACCCTGGAAAAAAAAAATGGGCGTGATTACGTTAAAATGTGACCACGTGACTAGTCACACATTCCACCGCCAAAACAAATGGGCGGGATTATGTTAAAAAAAAGTGACCACGTCACCGGTCACTTCTAACGCAGTCACAAACATTGATAGAACACCTGTAGATCTTAATGGGATTACTGATTCACTTTTTAAAGGGCTCTGACCAGAGAGGGGAGCGCTATGATGGGGCTGGCCAGAGGGGAGGGCGGTGTGATGGGGTGTTCTATCAAAGTTTGTGACCCTCCCCCACCCCTCTGCGGCGCTCACAATGTCCGATAGAAGTGACATTTGAGGACCAATCAGCTGCTCCAGGCAGATAAGGTAATGCAGATTGGTTCTCCTGCACATGCGCAGTGAGTCGATCTGCCCTGGAACAGCCGACAAAGCGTTGGAATGCTTGACCTAATGGGCGGTCACACATTCCACTGCTGAAAAAATGTGTGGGATTACGTTAGAATGTTTAATCCGTGTGACCAGTCACACATTGCAATGTAGTCACAAACATTGATAGAGCATGGTGCTGGCCAGAGGGGGAGCAGTGTGCGGGGGGAGAGATCACCTCATATGTTTTATATAAAAATAAACTATTTGGGTTTGAACACAGACAATATTCCATTTCTATTGCATAGTGCAGGTCAGTGAACCAACCTGAGTCTGTAGCTCCCCTTCAACTGATTCTGTCTATCTCATATTGGCACTGTATGTCCATTAAAGTATGCCAAAAGCAAGTAAGTATTTGGCATTTTGCACAGAAGTGCTGGCTAGAGAGGGATCACTTTGACACCGTCTGATTTTATGCAGACGTTTTCTAGAAATATGTGAGGGTGTATAGCATTGTACAGAGGGTTACATCAGAATTTTAGGGGATCTATGTCCTTAAAATAACACTGTGGTAGTGATACCGTAGTGTAAAGAAATAAGCACCTGAAGATCCTATTGAATCTGACACTTTGGAGAGTGTTAGATTCCTGGTCCCTCACCATGTACATTGGTTCTATCCACCTTCCTTACTACTGTGTCCTCTAATGACTGCTGGCCAGTGGGAGGAACCACAGTGAATACTGGGGATCCAGGAAATGTACACTCCTAAAAGTGTCAGATTCTCAGAGTTTTCAGACAATAGTTTCTTTGCTTTACTGCAGATGTTGGCATTGTGGGCAGCAGGAGAGAACTATTTTCGTTGCAGGGTGTAATTGTACATTTTTATTTTAGTGGCATCTGTGTTTACCCTCCCCAAACTGAAAGGTGCTTTGAAGACTTGAAAGTTGCTCCGAGCTCACTATTCATATTGCTTTTTTTTATAAGCTGAACCCATATGTACAAGGCCTTTGGTACAGTAATCCTGTACCTTTTAGGTGTGTGAGAGAGGCAAGGGTGGCCTTTTTCTCCACAAATATGAGAACCAGTCTAGGACCAGTAAAGCAAGAAAAGTTCTGTGGAAGAGGGTGTTATTTTAGCTCTCAAAGTTTGGTTGTCTACAGCATCCATTGATGGACATCTGTCCCTTCGTGAACCAAAATGTACAGATCCTAATTGCTCAGTCCATGTGACAGCTTATTAACCCCTTCGTGACTGACGACGTACAGTGTACGTCGCCAGCATCGGGGCTGTTTAAACAGACTCCCGGCGACTTTTGCCGCCGGGAGTCTGTTTAAACTTGTAGAGCCGACTGTCGGCTTTACAACAGAAGCGATCCTGGCGACTTACCTGTCGCCAGATCGCTTCTGCGTCCCGAAGAAGGGGCCGCCCCCCCCGCCGGACACCCCCGCCGTGCTTCCCGGGCTCCGAAGGCCTAAAATGTGGAATATAACATGGGTGCAAAAAATGAAAAAAGGGCCTCAGTCATGAAGGGGTTAAAGTGTATGTTTCTCAGTCCTATACTAATATAACAGTAGCACCACTGGTGAGCTTTAAAGTACAGTTTTAGTTGTTGTTCTCCTGCCTGCCAAGGGTGTTGGGTGCTTTGTGGCTTCTGAAGCACTTGTGTAATAATACTACAAATCTTCTTTTGTGATAACTATTCACTGTTGTCTTACCTGATATAGTATATTCCCGTAAAAGGGGACCATGTGATCGGAATTGTCACCACCAGGTCTGGAGATATTTTTAAGCTTGATGTTGGAGGAAGTGACCAAGCTTCTTTATCATTCTTGGCCTTTGAAGGTGCAACTAAAAAGAACAGACCGAATGTAAAGGTAAGGTTTGCTTCTCTTCTCCTATAGCTAGAAGAAGAAATAATAACACACTTTATTGAAGAATTCTTTAAAACTGGAGCAGACAAAATCTGGAGCGCTGACTGGAGGAACGGACGGGGAAGGGGGGCGGGTACAGCTGGCTCTGCCTCTAGATAGGAAGAGCCCACTGTCACTCACGCAGCTGGGTGGATCTTGACAATAATGTCGGGATCCGTCCCAGCTGCGCCGGTCTCAGTATACCATAAGCTGTAGCTCGCTATATACTGAGCTTTGGGTCACGGGAGGACGCTACTTTATGTCCTCCCGTGACCCTTAAGAGAACTATGGGGGAAAACACTGACCGCATAGTTCTCTTTTAATGGGAACATCCCCAGAAATGCATTTTCCTCAACACTTATTTTTAAGACTTGTAGACATGATGAAAAGGAGAAGCTGTGCTTGCATTCCTGTAATGGGCTCAGCACTTCTAAAAACTGCAGCCTACAATGTAATGCATAAGTACAAAAGCATCATCTTTGGACCAAAAATAATTGGGAGTCTTTTGCCTTCATTGGTGCAGCCTGCTGTGCCAGTCAGTATTTGCTGTTGCACATTCATCCGCAGTTGGCATATAGCAAGCATTGTATTTGAAGATCTTTTATTCAATCTGTGGCTGATATACAGTCAGATTTTTTTTCAAGACTATAGTTGTGACCAATCTGTGCTCAATCCACAAATAGTTTGGAGTGGAGTCTTCGCTTTCAAAAGGTACACACTCATAAAATTCATGTATCCTAGTAACTGTGTTTTTTAATGCTGGGCAGTAGTATGGACACAAAAACCTGTGGATACCCTTTGTGAGAAGACTGGCCTCCTTTTATTTACTCTAGAAAAATCTATCATCTCAGGTTCAGTACATGCATGCTTAGTCACTACCATGCACAGTAATTATATTGCCTATTAGATGGTTGGATCATTTCCTAATGTGCACATGACCAGTGTCATAAGCTGCCTTTTTATGGTTGTCAATAACCATGACTAGCAGGAAGACCTGGGAACTCTGATATCAGGATCTTGTTTCCTCAAGAGATGCACAAGTACCGTATTTTGCGGTCTATAAGACGCTCCGGACGATAGGACGCATGGCTTCTGTGACAGAAATTCTGTCACAGAAGCTGCAGTTAGTGACTGCTGAGACAGGTGGCGCTGTCTCAGTAATCACACAGAGCAGACGAAGAACGTCGTTCTTCGTCTGCTCAATGGGCTCTATGGTGAGCTCCTATGGGGGATGGTGACTGGTCACAGTCCCGCAGAGGAAGGGGGGACCCAGAAAACCTCGGCGGGGGGCGGACACGATCGCCGATGCCGCCGCCACTCGATTTAATTCAAGGGATCTACTTAGATCGCTTGTATTAAACGAACAGCGGCTCCCACTGTACATTCAGCTCTGTTTGTCAGGAGCAGGGCTGAATATACAAAAAGAAACTACTCGCCCGGCGCCCGAAACTGCATGTCCCGGGCGTCGGGCGATAGGTATTCGCTTCATAAGATGCAGGCACATTTCCCCCCTCCTTTTGGGGGGAAAAAAGTGCGTCTTATGGAGCGAAAAATACGGTAAATACTCTGTAGATACAGGAAGCAATCCAACGAGTGTTTGGTGGACTGACACTGTTAACAATAATCTTGTATTACACAATGCATGATTACAGTAGAATGCGTTTAGACCACCAGACTATTAATCAAATCCTGTTTGTTGGTTTGGCAGGTTGGAGACGTTGTTTATGGAAAGTTCATTGTGGCCAATAAAGACATGGAACCGGAGTTGGCATGCATTGACAGTTCTGGAAAAGCGAATGGGAAGGGTGTCATTGGACAAGATGGCCTTATGTTTAAAGTATCCTTAGGACTAGTAAGAAAGTAAGACGTTTTAATGGTTTGTCACAAACAAAAGACATATTTGTAAATGTCAAATTTTGCCTTTTTTGCGATACGGTAAAAAAATTAAGTAACCCAAAACTGTAAAAAAAAAGGTACTTGTGCTAAAAATAGTTTGTGCACTGTGTTGGTATGTGTGTTGTGATAAAATGATAAAGGCGTACATTTAATCGCAAACAGCTTATTACAATGCGCAGCCATGCGCTGCCACAGTTTAATGAATGTTATTTTAAAAAGCAAAAAATAAATCAAGCACTGCAATGTTTTCTAACAATGTAGTGCAGGTGCAGGGCATACACCACAATATGGTGCACGTGTGTGTGTGTTTTTTGTTTTTGGGGAGCTGGCATTTCCTTTTTGAAATGGAGAAAGACATTGAGGACAGTGGAGGATTTTTTGTTAATGGCTGTCATCAGCTGCGGACAGCTATTATTTTGCAGAGGACTGTCAGGGGAGCTGTTCTGGTTTCAGTACCTTGATCTTTTAGCAGGACAGTAAAAGCCACCGATGTAAGGCTTACTGAGGTGGCCAGCTGGAACCAGTTTTGTTCCACCATAAGCCTTACGTCGGTGGCAGCAAAAGGAGCTTTTCTCTTCACATTAACTGACGACCAGTTAGTGAGTAATGTATTTCATTATTACCTTTCTGCATTCAGTTGCTGAATCTTAATATTTATGAGATTGCAATGAAAAGGCAGAAAGTAGCTTAAATTAGTTTGTACTCAAAGTAGCATACAGGTGAAACTCGACTAATGAGAATATCGTGCAAAGTTCATTTATTTCACTAATGCAACTTAAAAGGTGAAACTAATATATGATATAGACTCATTACATGCAAAGCAAGATAATTCAAGCCGTGATTTGTCATAATTGTGATGATTATGGCTTACAGCTCATGAAAACCCCAAGAACCCCAAATCCACAATCTCAAAAAAGTAGATTATTACATGCAATCAATAAAACAAGGATTGTACATAGAACAATATCGGACCTCTGAAAAGTACAAGCATGCATATGTACTCAGTACTTGGTTTGGGCCCCTTTTGCAGCACTTACTGCAATTACTTTTGCACGATATTCTAATTATTCGAGTTTCACCTGTAGAATGCTCCTTTCTCAACATTCCCCTCTGTCCAATATCCTCTTGTGAAAAGTGTACTTTAAATGACACTTAACTCAGGCGTTAAATCTTAAAAAATGCATTCGAGTACCCTATTAACAAAAATTTATCTTATGTGTGTATCACTCAGCTGTAGATCCTCAAATCATCTCTGAATTGGTGCTGACAGTGTTGTTCCTTCAGGAGGGTGGCTACTTTTGTTCCCCATGGTCCCTGTGTGTGTTGTAAAGTAGCTACTGCTCCAAGCTCACTCCCATGATGGACTAAAATCTAATGTTAAGTTTACCAATTTATATTGAAATTTACTTTACAACACACACAGGGACCATGGGGAACAAAAGTAGCCACCCTCCAGAAGGAAGGGCAGTGTCAGCACCAATTCAGAGATGATTTGAGGATTTACAGCTGAGTGATGCACAAATAAGATACATTTTTAATAGTTGACTCAAACACATTTTTAAGATTTAACTACTGAGTTTAGTGTCACTTTAAACATGGATGAAAAGAAATGGTACTTACCTTGCATTTTATTCTCCTTTTTGTTTAGGCTTTTAACACCTCAGAATGACATTGTCCAGGAACTGATGAATGTATTTCCATTTGAAATGGTCATCGGAATGAATGGCCGAATATGGGTGAAGTCTAAAACTATTCAACAAACCATAATAGTGGCAAACCTACTGGAAGCCTGTGAATATTTAACTCCTGCCCAGAGGAAGCAGGTCTTTGCAAAGTTCTCAGACAACATGTAAATGTACATATTCTCCACCTTAACCATTTGTTGCATTCATGATCATCCAGATGTAAATGAACCACATAGACTTTGTTTTAATGTTATTGGTTTTTATTTAAAAAAAACTATTTTGTTACTACACGAAAAGTGTTCTTCATGGCTTTGGCTCCATCAGGTTTTTATGAACTCTGGTATATATTGTGTAGTTCAGAATATCCATCTTTGTATAGTTATGTGCAGGTTGAAACAACATTTTCTTCTGTACAGTAAGAATTTGGATTGCCAATGGTCTGAAAACTGCTGTAAAATGTGGACATGGCTTTTAGGGGAAACCAGAATTAACCCAGTTAGATATGGCACCCAGCTCCATACTGTATTATACTAAAACCTTAAGTGATCAGCATGCAGGGATTATATATTTTTACTACAGATGCTGGTGATTATACCCCATATGCCATAAAGTTTATGAACTCCTGACCATCACGCCTAATTCAGCTTGTTGGACATCCCATTCCACAAACATGGGCATTAATATGGAATTGGCATCCTCCCCCCAGCAGGAACAACCTCCATGCTTCTGGAAAGGATTTTTGGAGTGTAGCTATTCAGGTAATAGAGTATTTATACGGTCGGGTACTAACGTTGGATGAGAAGACTTGCCTTGTAATTGCCATTCCAATTATTCACAAGGATGTTTAGTAGGGTTGAGGTCAGGGCTCTGTGCAGGCCACTGCTGTTCCTTCACACCAAACCATGTCCTTTATAGACCTGGCTTTGTGCGCAGGGGTACAGTGGTGTCGGAACAGAAAAGGTTCTTTCTTGAACTGTTGCCACAAGTTTGAAGGTGCACAATGTGTTTTTACTGTATTGTTGCATCAACAGTACACTTCACTGGAAACACCTGAACTCAAATTTGGAGGGGTGGCCACATACTGACAATATAGTGTACATGTACCAGGGCTTCTCTAGCTGTTAGGGGTAATGCATTCCACAGTTCTGTAAGCTGTCAAGTTATGGCTTTCTTAGACTCAGGGGTGTGGAGTTTTTGTTTTCCAAGTTGTGTATGCCCCTCTTTAACTTTTGCAGTGAAGACCGTTTACTGATCGTCTTTGAGGGCCCGTTCACACCAGACACTGCATTCCGGCCTGATTCTGGCCCAGAATGCACTGGATCGCATTGCGGCTGGCTCACTTTGTTGTAAGGCAGGGGGGGTGTGGTGGTCCATTGCAGTGCGATCGGCCGCATGGGACACAAGGCACATCAATGCCTACGGTCTGGTCAGGCCAGAAAAAAAAATGCTGCAAGCACTTTTTTTTTCTGACGGGACTGGAACGCAGGCGTTGATGTGCCATGCGTTCCTGTGTGGCCGATTGCATTGCGGCTGGAGGGTGTTGCTATGGTGCCATTCACTTAAATCGATTGCCAAGGCCTCTGCTTGGGGGGGGGGAGTCTCTGCTCAGTGCACAGAAAGTCCTAAAACCCTTTATGGTTATCTGCATTCTTCCTGATAATTACATTCTATATGCAAATTCCATAAAACTCCATGGTGAAATGAGCCTGAGACATTTGCAGAACAAGTTGCAGCTGCTGTCCTGGGACCCAGAAATAAGTATAAATTACACACCTCCATCACCCCTAATTTCCTGGTATATAGGCAGTGTTAATAAGAGTTTTTTTTCCTTCTCCCAGTAGGATCTTAAATTTTTTTTTTTTAAAGTGTCCCTCCTTGCATGTGTGTGCACATCGAGCTGGCATCATAGCAAGGATTCTAGCCAAATGATGGTAGCTGGGGGAAAATTGGAAGTATATCAGCCACTGGTTTTGCAGCAGAGGAGAACATGCTTTCCTAGAAGGTTGTTCTACTTTTGTTCCTGTTGATACAGTAAAGCAAGGATTATCCTCTCAAAAAGCAAGATGCTCTTCACTGATTTTTTTTGCAGCTCTCATACTTCTACCGAACTTGTTACTTTGCAGGGACTATTTTAGAAAGTAAGTCGTTTTCTAAAGTGTGACTCTACAGTTCATAACTAAAAGGCTACACATTACTATGCAAACGGTTCTTGATAGATTAAAGTACCACAATGCAGTATCCCAAAAGGAGCGTACACAAAACATTGAACTTATTCAGAGCCTTGGTGCCCCAAATTTCAGACCACTGTTCCTACTTCCCGTATGTTACTTTTGGATCATCTGTCTAATGTACACCTCCCTGGAAACGAGAACCATCCAAGGGGATAGACCAACACTCAACATTACCAACAAGTGTAAATACTCACCATTTACTCCAGCCATAGCTTTTGGGAACCTGGGCTGCAGGGAAAACACATAAAGGAGAACTATGGGGTCAGTGTTTTTCCCCATAGTTCTCCTTAGGGTAACGGAAGGACACAAACTAGCGTCCTCCCGTTACCCTAAGCTCAGTATAGCGCGAGCTACAGCTTGCGTTATACTGAGACGCCGGAGCGGATCCTGACTTAGATGACGGGATCTGCCCAGCTGCGTGAGTGACAGCTGGCTCTGCCTATCTAGAGGCAGAGCCAGCTGTACCCTCCCCCGTCCGTTCCGCCAGTCAGCGCTGGTAGATCGGAGAGGGGAATCCAGACGCTCCCCCTGTCACGGCAGAGAGCCGTGACAGGATCGAGAGGTGAGCGAACCCGGTATGTGTTCGCTCACCTCCCGATCTACTGAGCCGACCTATGACAGTCTCATTGTCACAGGTCGGCTACAACTATGAAGTGAGTGAAAAGCGCAGTTTCACGAACGCACACTATTTGTACCCTGGGCATATTTGGTATCTATTTACTCAATGTACCCATATTTTATATTATATTTTACACAACAAAAGGGGTTTTATATAGTGTTTTGGGGCACTAAATTTAACAAGTGCATTTTTGGTTTGATGATGATTTGTGTTAATGTCGTGCAACATCAAAAATTGCAACTGCCGCCATTTTATTCTACAGGGTCTTGTCTTTCAGAAAATATATGTTTGGGGGTCTGAGTAATTTTCTGGCCTAAAATGTGGATTAAAACATAAACAAAAAAACAGGTCTTGGTCCTTTTAAGGGGGTTAATTACTAAAAGGAGTATTTTGATGCAAATGAGCTTGGAGATCATGAGGGAACCTTTCCTGCTGTCAGGAAAAATTGGCAACAGCTACTTTCCTTTGGACTGAAGCTACAGTTGTGAGAAGTTGAACTTGATTGAGCTGATTTTTTTTTTTTTTATCATATTGAATATAACTGTGACGGTGTATCTAAGAAATGCTCATGTAAACAAGCTCTTTCTACGCAGCATCTTTTTTTTTTGTTGGTTTCCTTGAAGTCTCACTAACCTGTCAGTTGTCTCCCACAACTCTATTTTAAAAATAATTCAAAAAAGAATAAACAGCTATTTTATAACTACAAGAACAGTTTATTTTCTAGGTTATTATCGTCACGAAGTACAAAGCCTTTTCCTGGCGAGACACCGGCTTTCAATGCTTTTGGCCAGCTTTTAGTTTCATGGTATGTGGATAATATGTCGAACACTAAAGAAAGGAGTAAACAAGGACATATTCATTATACATTCAGATTAGACGCAAAAAAACCAACAGGATTAGCTATTGCCTTTTAATCTAGAATTAAGTAGGATACACGCCGAGTAAAATTCGGCTGATTCATCAGGAATCGCTCCCTGTGTAACCTATTCTATCGAGAGAAGTTGATCATTAGATCTACTTTTGTCAAAGGAACATCTTTAGGCGAACGGTGCTTGCAAGCCAATCGGCTTCAAGCATTGGTCAGGTATTTTGACAGTGGCCGATGACCACTGTCAGAATACAAAGTTCACAGCGGGAGATTCGTCTACAAGCGCGGTTGAGCGTGTATGAAGAGGTCTGTTATATTTTCTTGATAAACACCACCAATTTTATACTCTAGTACTAGAAGGCTGTGCTGCTATAATACTTTAAATAATACTACTGATCAACCTGAGCAGTGTACGTGTTTATAGCATTTTCCCACATTACTATCATAAAATACATTGGGGGAATTTATCAAAACTGGAGCAGACAGAATTTGTAGCAGTAACCAATCAGCTTCTCTCTTCCATTTTCAAAGCTTAACTGGACAAACTGAAGAGAGAAGCTGATTGGTTACGATGGGCAACTGCTCCAATTTTTATACATTCCCCTCCTTGTATCAATGCTAATGTCATAAAAAAAAGCACACCTTGATTAATAGCCAGTATCTCAGAGTGGAAATTTTTCTCATTGTCCTTCTTTATCATATACTCTTGTATTGGCAATCGTGCAGTCTGCAAGCCATTCTCTTTAGCTTTGTGGTATGTTACTTTCTAAGTCAAAAGGAAAAAAAAACACATTACATCTGCTATAATGTTTAACAGATTTGCAAACGGTGTCTCAAATACAGGAATGTAAACAGTGCGCTATGTATGGTCTAATAGGCAACTTCAAAGGCCATTTCCACTGAGTGTACATAAAGCTGGCATATGCATTGGCTGTATATGAACACAGACACTTACATTTTTCAGCTTTCTCTCTCATATCCTCATGGAAATGGCTGTCTCCGTGGTGTGCAAGCAATGTGTGTATAGTGTACAGTGTATTGTGTGCAATGGCAGAGCTGGTGTTTAGTGATCATGTTACAATGGTTACATGTTACAATTGATTACAATCCGACCCCGGTGTCAGACTGAATTTCCTGTAGAGTGCATTTTATATTTTTAGGCTTCAAGCCTAATAAAAAAAAAAAATGAAGAAAGCCTGCAATGTGAGTGATGAAAATGTGCGCATGTATACATCATCACTGCACCTCTAGATTACCATAATAAATGCTAATCACTTACAAAGGTGGAAATTGAACATTTTTATACAGACCTTCTGAATACTTTCGTCAACTAGTCCTCCAAGAACATACACTTTAGATGGATCAATATCTTCAAGAACTTGGAATAAAGCAAGAGCAGAGTTATTAAAACAAAGACAAAAACCCTTATTTATCTCAATGCATCACAAAACAAAGTACAGCTTTTGAAGAATGAATTGAAAAACGTAGTGATTTAAATTTTCAAGAAATAAAAAAAAATGATTTAAGATTAAATAGATAACTTCCGGTTCCGGCACCAGATGGAGTAGCAGTGTGTAACGGAGCTCCGTCCCCGCCAAGAATCACCCTGTGAACGGGTCATACTCACTGCCTCTCTGCTCCTAATGTGCCATGGACAGGTTCGTGGCCCGAACCTGTCCATGGATGTGGGCGAGTCAGATCCACCTAGGGCTGCAACAACTAATCGACATAATCGATTATAATCGATTATTGAAAAAGTTGTCAACTTTTTCAATAATCGATTAATCGGCTTCCGATCAGTTGGCCCTGTTCACGATTCAGCCACCTTAGGCCCCTATTGACTATCAGCAGCTGGCGGCCACAGTGGCAGCACATCTGAAAGCAGATATGGGGGTCATCATTGCGGACTCCATTAAGCAACACATGGGGCCTATCACGGCGGCCATAGAAGCCGACACCTCCAGGCCCTTGAAGGCCGAATAAGCGACCTAGAAGATCATACCGCTCGGTCCAATAGTGCACAGGCTGAGGACCAGAAATCGATTCGGTACTTACTGGACAAGGTCGATGACTTGGAAAACAGGTCCCGCAGAAATAATCTCAGGATCATTGGGATCCCTGAATCGATCAAACCTGCAGCATTTCTGCTCATCCATTATCCCAAAAGCTATGGATATCACGTCCCACTGCCAAGTGGAAAGGGCCCACAGAATGGGACCCCCCAAGGAGTCTGGTAAGCCCAGGCCGGTCATCGCCCGTTATCTGGATTATTCAGATAAGTATCACATCCTGCAGACCTACAGGATGCAACGCCAACTGGTGGCGGGGGGCCACAAGTTACTGCTGTTCGCTGACTATTCGGCCGAATTGTCCAAACTACGCGGCTCCTTCCACGAGGTGTGTCAAACCCTTGTCCACAAACAGGTTAAGTTTGTCCTCGCATATCCAGAAATCTTGCGCCTGACAGACGCGGAGGGAAATCAAACCCGATTCACATCTGCTGCGCAAGCCAGGACATACGTGGACAGACATCTGTCTGACCCCCCCGCACACTCCAACTCTCCACTTAAGAGCCCCCCATGGAAAAAGGCCTTAATTTCTGGGCGGCATGTGCCTCTCTACAGTCTTCTATGGGCCAGCTGAGCAGGCGGCCATAATGCGCTCAGGTTCCATGCTGCACGCCTGTTGTTCCACATTCATCTAATCTGTTCGTATTTTATATTTGTCTATATTTTCTTTTTTTGCTAAGAGACTCTTCTACAAGTGCAGCATCCGGAAATTAACAGTTTCATTACCACTATGGCTCTCCTAGAGGTGGATCGTACTCCCCTCGGCCAGATTACCATGCACCACCATCTGGAAAAAAGGAAGTCACTGACAGGTATATGTTATTGCCTGATTTGTTTTCTTTGTTTAGTTCCTAGACTTTGCATGCTCCAAGTTCAAGGCGGACGTTTGTGTTCTGTCATGTGGTTGAAGACCTCTCTCCGTATCCAGCTCATCGCCATCGCTCTCTACTGGACGCATCTTACTTTCATAGGTATCGTAGGACTCATAGACCAGGGTCGTACCCGGAGCATTGGGACACCGGTACCGACCCAACTTTTCTCTTTTCTCTTATGACCGCTTTGTAATGCTATGGGCCTCGTGGGACGTCAAAGGACTCAGGACCCCCCAAAAGAGAAGGCAGATCCTACGCCATCTTAAAAAGCTAAAGGTGGACATCGCCTTGTTGCAAGAGACCCATCACTTGCCCTACTCCCTCCTCACACAACAACATAACCTGACAGGGGGTAGATGGTTCCGCATCACTATCAAACTTGGGTTGACTACTTTTGACATCTGTAATGTCTACGGCCCCAATGCCGATAACAAACCCTTTTATGATGACCTGCTGACTCGCCAATTACGGACCGCCCCAGATACCTATGTCATCATAGGGAGTGATTTCACAAATGGTATCGACTTAAGTGAGAGCCCACAAGCTGGCCCTGTGGTAGTTAGGTAACCGGTCACTGGCCAGCTTTTACTGAAGGTGGCTGCATTTGCACACTGCAGTTTTAAATCCAGACAGAAAAGATGCAACACAGCTCTACCTGGATACACAGCAGATGTAAGCAATGTGTACTAATAATAAATGGGTATGGGATTAATAGAAGCCATTTAAGGCTAGGTTTACACCTTTGTATCTGCATTGATAAGTACAGGCATTAAACCGCATTGAGGTGCATCTCACATTCTGTGTTTTTTTTGGTCCAGTGAAAGTCAAATAGAGATTGCTAGAGGGGTGAGGACATTTTGTCTTGTGATGAAATGCACAAAAATGCATGTTACATACATTTTACGTGCACTGCCATTGAAGTCAATTGGTCCAAAAATGTGCATTGATGCCCAAAAAAGCGCTTATACTATTTTTTTCAATGCACAGCAGAGTAGAAAAGAATGACAATCCACTTGTTGCGTAATATCGAGCGTTAGGCAACGTGAGTTAAATCACACAGGTGTGGACAGGGCCTTAATCTTATATGTGGTCCTAAGAGCAAGCATCATAAGCTGCCTGCTTTAGAATGTATTAGCCCCTAAACTACTCTTTGCACCCTTCTCCTCTGATGATGTTTTGTTACAATGGGCTTGACTTATTTAGAGATAAATCCTACCCCACCCTGTGCAATGATATCACCCTCTGTGGCCACTAAGACCCTTTTACTGGGCAGGGAAAAGGCAGGTGGGTAGGATTAAGGCTATGTTCACACCATGTCAGAAACAGATCTGCAAGCACAGTGCATTTTTGCTGTGTTATAGTGTGTGTTTTTTTGGGTTTGTTTTTTTATCTTAAAATGGGCTTTCAGGGACAGTTTAGTGCGTTTACATGCGTTCTGGACCAGAGAAAATGAGACCAGCAGTATTTTTTCTTATCTGGACCGGAATGGACTCTCCTAGTGTGAACAGAGCCCGGTAATACCATAGGATACATTGGGATGCTTTTTTTTGGTCTTGGAACAAACTGTTCTGGTCTGGACATGGTGTGAACAAGCCCTGAATCCCAGACACAAGAAATTCAAGATCCACACTGTGTAGAGAAGAGGCTTTCCAGCTATAAAAGTAATCACAAATACCTGCGATGACTGCTGTAAGTATGTTAAACACCTAAAGCAAACCTTTTCTTTGCCCATTTGGAGCAAAGCAACAAGCTTTTAATACAAAGAAAAGATAAAGGGATTTATGCCCCGCAAACTCACCATTGTCCGAGTCTGGAGTAAGGTATATGATCGATTTTAATGGGAACATGTCAAGAAACCCGCTTTCTGTTGAGTCAACCTGGAGAAATATGCAAATACAAGTTTCATCACATTGCATAAGCTGCATACAGATGGCTAGCCTGCAGTGACACTCTGGAAAGAAGCCAAAAGGGAGACCACACAAATCTCTCTAAAGGTGGCCATACACTTTACAACCATCGCAAGACCTTAGTCTTGCGATGGTTGTAAAGTAATTAAAAAAACGTACGATCTGCCCATCTTGGACAGGCAGATCGTACTCTCGATCATCGCAAGCCCGCCCCCCTGAGAGGCGGGCTTCTGATGAGCGCAATGCTGAACGGGCAGTGTGCGAGTGCGCACACCGGCCCGTTCGGCATTTGTCTCCCGAGCACTGTTCAAACCAGCCGAAAATCGTACGATTTTTGGCTGGTTTTCTAGCGTGCTGCTTAGACAAAAGACGTGCGACCGTACAGTAGAAACGGTTGCACGTCTTCGTTCACACTGCTCGATTCTCGTACGATCCCGGGATTTCCCGCGATTCTCGTACGAGAATCGAGCATTGTATGGGCACCTTTAATACATACAATTTACAGTTCCGGAAAAGGGACAAATATGTATAAGAGTTGACAATGCAAGGTACTATAAACATAGTCACATTTGCAGAAATAAACTTACAAGATAATTGACAAATCCATCATTCATTCGCACACATTCATCATATAAGAGACTGTGTTGTCCAAAACCTGTCAGATACAGCCAGAATGGTTTTGCAGATTTCTTGTTTGACCCATAAAGCCTCCTGATCTGAGCTGCCAGGCGACTTAATTCCTTCAAGACAAAAAACACGATATTAGGAAATTATGAATGTTACATATACAGTCTGCAGTCCCTACAGACATCTGACACTAAAGCTCAGCTTTTATTCAGTTATTAAACAACTCTAGTAAAAGTTTTTGCTACTCTTTGCATTTCAGACTTCTCCTTTCCTGGTGACAGGGGGTCAAATAGACTAAAAGGGCTATTCACAAAGCTGCCGAGTAAATAACTGACCCGAAGTGAAGTGAGCAAAATATTGTTTGGCTATTCACTTCAGGCTTGTAAGGCTGATTTCAGCTTAGGCTGGCTTCGGTTCAGGCGTACATGCTCAGCAAAGTGCAGAAGGAGATCGGCTGATCCGAACCTCCGGCAGGCTACTCGCTGCCGTTCGGCCTATTCTCATAGGGGCCGAACGGCAGTGAATGAATAGCGGAATGCCGCTGAGCGGCAATGGGTTAGGCTATTCTGCTTGGTATCATTCAAATACCTCCGTGGTACTGAGCAGAAAAGAAAAACAGTGAAAAAAGTTTACAAACGTAAATAAATGATAGATTAAAAAAAAAAATAAAGATTTAAAAAATAAAAATAAATTAAAGATTATTGAAAAAGAAAAAAAAGAAACAATTGGGCAGAGCTAACAGTGACAGCTAGCTCCGCCCAACTGTTTCCTATTGGCCGGGACCTGCTAGAGTCTTCTAGCAGGTCCCGGCCAGTGAATAACAACTTGGCGGAGACGGCCGTGATCTCACTGCTGGCTCCGGCCAGTTGCAATGACAGATATGTCTATTGAGCCTCAGGGCTCCGGCGGCCGAAGCTAGGCAAAGGATCAGCCGCAGCTACGGCTGATACTTCGGCTAGCTTTGTGAATAACCCTCTTAGCGTTGAAACATTTTTTTACACTCAATTCATTAATTTTTTCTCCTGGTGTCACTGGGAGGGAAAGGCAATGAAAAGATTGTGAATAGAGTTATAAAACCTGACATAAGTTCTCAAGTAGGGTATAACACGGTGTGGCACCCTTCAACCCGGCCTCCCTCGATCAGCTGATCGAAGGAGCAGGTTGGAAAATTGTTGTCCAAACGGCTAAGCAGGCAGCCAATCAGCTGCTAACTCCATTCAGGTATGCAATAGAAACAGCAGGGGATTCCTTGATCAACGTTCATAAGCGTTTATGGAGGAACCTGTTCTATGGTTTTTGTTCAGCCCGCAGGTTGAATGAAAAAACAAACATGTATGGCCAGCTTAACTCTGACACTTTGGCTGGAGCTGTACTTTAACTTCAATAACTGGGGACACCTATATTTAGAAAGTAAGGCCGACTACAAAAGCAGAGCAGCTGTGCCGGCATACATTTCCCTGGCAGGGACCCGCACTGTCACCATCAGGACAACAGTGCAGAGAAATGCCATACAGTAATTGCTGAAGTGTATGCATGTAAACAGGAAGTGGCAAAGACGTTGCAGGAGATTAGCAACACCGTGCTTTATTTAAAAAACAATGGACATTGTTTATGATACACAATGCTTAACAAACTAAATGTTATTCAGTTAGTGTTTACACCTTTCAGGGCCAAATCACACTTTTCCAATGTGTTACATTATATTTAAATTGCACCCCAATGCAATCTAGCTCCAACAAACATGCGTTGCACCAACCACAGTATACAGTAACACACTACCATGTCCTGTTATGCACTGCATGTAAGTTTTTATTTTTGTTCTTGGCAGCCAATTTAAAATGAATGGGCTGCCTTAACACAATGCAAGTTAACATGTGACACAATATGTGCCAATGAACTGACCACAACCAGCATTCTCAATGAATGGGCCACAATCAGTGTTCCCTATAAATGGGACACGACCAGGGTTTCCAATGAACTGGCCACAACCAGAGATCCCAATTATTTGGCTACAACCAGGGTTTCAACTGAACTGGCCACAACCAGATTTCCCAATTATTTGGCTACAACCAGGGTTTTCAAAAAAGGGACACAACCAGAGTTTCCAATGAACTGGCCACAACCAGAGTTCCTAATTATTTGACTACAACCAGGGTTTTCAATTAATTGGTCACACTCAGGGCTCTCAATAAACGGGAAACAACTTGGGTTCCCAATGAACGGGAAACAACCTGGGTTCACAATGAAATGGCCACAACCAGGGTTCCAACGAGTTGCACAAGATCCTTTCCTTCAATTCCTCCCGCCAACCACTATATTACTACTATATCCTGCTGTCAATGTAGGGGTTGGCATGATAAACAATGGCACCCAGCGGGAAATGCGCCTAAAAGAGTCCCTTAGCAGTGGCACCCTGTGCTCTTCAGGAAACACACTGCCTGCTGTAAAGGTAAGTAAAAACCACCTTCTTTTACAGGGTACTTTTTCCATTGTTCCAGTGAACACTGTGGTGTTTTAAGCGGAAACAAGTGAAGGATTTTTACATTGTCCACCTGTAATCAAAACTACTTAACGTTAATTAAATAAAATGTAGACCTTGTTGACTAAACAATATTCAATCCCTTTACAATATTACCTTCTTACTCATGTGATCTGTCATGCTTAAATCAATGCAAAGTCGTGGACCAGAATTCTTTGCTTCCAAAAGACGGTCTTTGGTCAAAGCTTTTAAGAATCTTTTACTGTGAAGCTGTTGGCTGGTAACTGAGATAATAGAAGACATAAGAAATTGTCATAAAGGAGAGTAGTTCATTGTGCTTGTAAGACATAATTGGTTGTATTTTTGAAAAATACAAGAACTAATATTTTAATTTCCTAAGAATTAGGGATGCACCGATACCAAGTACCGTACTCGGTACAAGTACAGATGCTTTTTGAGCTCCAAGACTAGAGAAAAATGAAAAAGTTAGGAGGCAGCTGTCATGTGTAAGGAGCACACGGAGCTCCTGGGATTTGTACATCTCTGTTTTAATTTATGATTTTGTTTTTATAAATAAAGGGATGCACAGATACCAATTTTGCGAGTACTGGTACTTGCCGAGTACTTACAAGTACGCTGATACATTTTTGTTTATTGTCATGTGACAGTTTTTCTAAAACAATACAGACTATGATTTCAGGACAGTGGTGGAGCACCAGAGCCCGGTCCCAGCTGAAACCCTGGTAGTTCTTATGAAACTGCCAAGTATCAGCATTGGTACTCGAAAAGTATCGGTGCATCACTAGTAAGAATACTGTGCCCACACTGCCTTGTCACCCTGATCTTCTACTACTGCATTCTGTAAAACACAGTTCTTCTTGGTATTTAGTGATTAGTGTCTGAGTGTGCATTCACTAGGCCCAAGCACGGTCATATGGGGCAGGGAGTTCTTAGCCCTGTGCTTAGCAAATTGGGGGGCTTAGGTGGCAGGAATCTTACAAACAGGCATCTATTTCCAAGCTCCATTTCCAACAGAGTTGCTCAAATTCTCCTCAATTCATGCATTATTCTCCCAACTCATGATAAATTACATCTGACATCCCACCTAAAAATTACTGTCAAACGCCTTCAGCATGCGCACTCCATTTTATAAGTGAAATCCCTACTTCTTACTGATAATAGTTTGACTGACAAGGCATGGTCATATTGACTTGCAATACATTATGGTTACAGCAGTACATTTAAAGAACTTCTGGAAAAAAAAATATTAACCCTTGCAGTGGGACTGCCACGCACTGCATGGGTTAAGTGCCTATTTTTGCCTAGGTTAAAAAAAAAATTATACTAAACTTGATTCTCTGCGCCAGCTTGCTTTTAGACTGGTTCCTAGAGCCTCTCTCTCTCCCTCCTCTACAACAGTCTAAAGTCCCATAAATCATCACGTTCTATACACAGTGTATACATGTGAGGACGCTGAGGAAGACCCCAATGCTGCAGCTGAGGAGGAGACAGGCTGGAGGGAATGCTATGACAGCTGGCAGGCTTGGAGCATCGGGTGAGTATAACTTTGTTATATTAGCAGCTAGGCAAAAATGAGCATTTACGGACATAGGTCAGAATACCTGTATCTGTGTTTCCAGACTGCTTTGCTTTTCTTCTTTCCTTTTCCTGTTTCCTCTTACTCTTTTTAGCCATGATAATTTTTTCCCAATGCCTTTGCTTTCTTAAAACATTTCTCTATTTTGAATAAAAACAAAAAACAAGCATTTTATATAATATGTTAAAGTTTTCTATAAAGAATCAATCTACCTAAATGGAAATTGAAGTTTTGGGTAGATGCAAAAAGGATGAATAACACACCCCTTAAATCTTTATCACTGATTCCAACAGGATGATCTCTACAGCCAAATTTCCAAATCTTCCCATTAGCCACGGCTACTATTATGGACTCAATCCTCCAGGCTATTCTCATAAAATGTAAAATATATGAGTGGGAATACTCCTACTGCTGAAGGATTGAGCTACCATGGTGAAATGGGCAATACTGAGGACTCCAATGCTGAGATCTCATCTGTGGAATTACTAGGAGAAAAAGTACAGCAGTGGGTGGATGAAGCCTTCATTGAAATATACCGATACTAGTATCAGTGCTCATACTGAGTATTTGGGCGAGTACTCGTACTGTTGCCTATCCCAAAATTGGAACTTCTTATATCAGGAAGCCAGGCGGCGAGTCATTAATGGCTCCCCCCCGACTTCTTGATTGGCCCGGTAAGCTGGCTGCATGCTCCCTTGTCACTTGGTGACGAGGTAGCACGAAGCCGGCTTCCCGGCCATTCAGAAAGCCAGACACCATGTAATGACTCGCCACCCAATCAGAAAGCCGCCCCCGGCTTCCTGATTGGCCAGAAATGCGGCTCCATGGCCAATCAGGAAGCCGGGCACAGTGTAATGATTGGTCTGGTAGCTGGCCAAATCAGGAAACCAGGTGGGGAGTCATTAACTGCTCCTCGGCTTCCTATTTGACCAGAAAGCCGGCTCCATGGCTATTCGGAAAGCTGGGCGGCAAGTCATTACACGTCGCCCAGTTTACTTAATGGGATTTCTAGTATCGGTATTCTGTATCAGCGAACACCAAAAAATAAATAAATATTGGTACTTGTACTCAATGCCGAAAACACGGTATCAGTGCATCCCTAGTATTTAACTCATGACATTTTATCTTTAAAGCGGACCTTTACCCATATCTTTACAATAACAATAAACACACCTTTAGAAATGTTTAGTAATGACAAACACATACTTCTAGATAATTGTCGGCTTTGTATTCTTTGCATACCTTATTTCTCTTTTCTTCTCCAGTCTTCTGACAGTGGCCATGTTTACTAATGGCAGATTACTAGATCTCCTTTTACTTCCTGGATTTCTTGCACATGTGACTAGGACATGTGACCATGCACATCATCTCAGGGGAGGAAAATGCATTTCCCTGAGATCTCGTGAGATTACAGATGAGATTCCCCAGCATTGCTCTGCTCATGTACCTTCCAAGTGTGCATTGTTTCGGCAAACTGAAGTCATTTTGCCCTTTCAAAGCAGGAAGTGAATGCTCTGCAAGTGGAAGTATTTCAGAATCACAGCATTTTACACCTGACATGTCTATGTTATTATTAATCATCATACATAGAGGGATGCATCGGTTGAATTTGATTCTTGAGTGTTAGTCTGGGTTCACACCTAGGCGTATCGTATATGCGTATTCGCGGTAAAAAAAAACGCGCGACAAACACGCGTTTCCGAGGACTACCTGGCTGTATCCCAATGGATACGCGCGGCAAATATGCCCCAAAGAAGCTCCTGTACTTTTTTGGGCGTAGGGCGTTTTGCAGCGCATTCCTACGCCCTGTAAAACGCCCAGGTGGGAACCATGCCCATAGGCAGGGCTTGAAAAATCCACTCGTCTGTGACGAGAGGACGGTGGAGCCCGACGAGCAGCTTCCCGGCCGGCCGCTGTAATTACACGGCCGGCCGGGAGCTTTACATTCAAGCGATCAGGCGTCTCTAGAGAC